GAGATTTGACCCCAAAAATTGGGGCTTTTAGACCCAAAATTTGGGGGTTTTTTTAGAGCCAAGAATGAGGGGTTTGGACCCCAAGTTTGGGGAGTTTTACACAAAACATTTGGGGGGTTTTTGACTCAAAAATTGGATTTTTTTTGATCCCAAAACTCGGGATTTTTTTAGACCCCAAAATTGACCTTTTAAGGAGCGAAAATCGTGGATGATTGGACCCCAAATTTGAGGGTTTTATCCTCAAATTTGGCGGATTTTAGGCCAAAATTTGAGGGTTTTTTTTAAAGACCCCAAATCGGCCCCGAACACATCGGGGTGACGTCACTGATGACGTCAGCGATGACGTCACTCACCGAGAAGAGCATGTTCTTCTTGTCCTGGTTGACGGCGCGCGGGTCGGGCACCGGCTCCGTGTGCTTGATCACTGACACCGACTCACCTAAACCAGTATAAACCAGTATAAACCAGTATAAACCAGTATGGACCAGTATGGACCAGTATAGACCAGTATAAATCGATAGAAACCAGTATAAACCAGTATGGACCAGTATAAACCAGTATAAACCAGTTTGGACCGGTCAGGACCAGTATAAACCAGTATAAAATAATGGAAACCAGTATAAACCAGTTTGGACTGGTTGGGACCAGTATAAACCAGTACAGACCAGTACAAACCAGTATAAAATAATAGAAACCATTATAAACCAGTATAGACCAGTATAGACCAGTATAAATCGATAGAAACCAGTATAAACCAGTTTGGACCAGTATGAACCAGTTTGGATCGGTCTGGACCAGTATAAACCAGTACAAATCGATAGAAACCAGTACAAACCAGTATAAAATAATAGAAATCATTATAAACCAGTATAAATCGATAGAAACCAGTATAAACCAGTATGAACCAGTATAAACAAGTATAGACCAGTACGAACCAGTATAAATTAATATAAACCATTAGAAACCAGTATAAACCAGTTTGGACTGGTTTGGACCGGTCAGGACCAGTATAAACCAGTATGGACCAGTATAAACTGATAGAAACCATTATAAATCTGTATAAAGCAGTATAAACCAGTATAGACCAGTATAAATCGATAGAAACCAGTATAAACCAGTTGGGACCAGTATAAACCAGTACGGACCAGTATGGACCAGTATAAACCAGTATAAAATAATAGAAATCATTATAAACCAGTATAAATTGATAGAAACCAGTATAAACCAGTTTGGACTGGTCAGGACCAGTATAAACCAGTATGGATCAGTATAAAATAATAGAAATCATTATAAACCAGTATAAACCAGTATAAATCTATAGAAACCAGTACAAACCAGTTTGGACTGGTCTGGACCAGTATAAACCAGTATAAAATAATAGAAATCATTATAAACCAGTATAAACCAGTATAAACCAGTATAAATTGATAGAAACCAGTATAAACCAGTTTGGACTGGTCGGGACCAGTATAAACCAGTATGGACCAGTATAAACCAGTATAAAATAATAGAAACCAATATAAACCAGTATAAACCAGTATAAAATAATAGAAACCAGTATAAACCAGTACAGACCAGTATAAACCAGTATAAAATAATAGAAACCAGTACAAACCAGTACAAACCAGTATAAAATAACAGAAACCAGTACAAACCAGTACAAACCAGTATAAAAAT